TTGCGATTAGCTGACCTACCATTACAAAACTTTCCATCTTGCATTCGGTCATAACAGAATTTATTGTAAAATACTAGATATTTAGAGTCCATGTTGTTTTCAAGCAATTATTCTTTATACATTCATGACACATTCACAAACACAGCTGCATCGGGTGCACTTGCGGAAAAGAAAAAGCAGCACGCTGTATCCTCTCCCCTTATGCAGGGCCATTAGCCCTGCCTTCTTGGTCAGCCTCAGCATGGCCTGTTGACTTCGGATAGGAGCAGGATTCCTTGCCTTTTCAGGGCATCCTGAAGTTCATGCTAGGAGCCAAGGTTTCAGTCCCCAAACAGCACGGGTTTCGTGTGTCCAAACTACCTAAAAGAAGTTCCGTGACTTCACCACACGATGCCATGTACAACCAGGAGACTCAGCACGATATTCCCAGAGTTCATTTCTTTCCTAGATGAAAGTTTTGAAGTCCACAAATTAGCAGCAGCAAATTATCCTGGCTGAAGCCAGGTCTTTCTCTTGCCATTTTTAAGGGGTATGAAAGCAAGCCAGTCCCCTGTTATGAGTCACAATCTCAGTTTCACAAGCTCAAAGGAAAACTCCACTGAGTTGGGATGGCAAAGGATTCTGTTATGGTTAACAGCAGAGCAGATCAGTTACTGCATTGGGAGGATGGTGAGAGATAATCATTGGTATATTATGACAAAAGTCTAGAATAATCTCATGTAAGTATGTTCCTTAATACAGAAATCTACAGTGATTTCAAGTATAGACCAATAGGTAATAAAGGCAAAGTCTGTGCTAATTGGTATCAAGTAAAACTCTACTGAAGACAGAATGTTTCTATCTTGGCCTAAATCTTGCAGCTCCATGGGTGACATACAGAAAAGAATAAGTTAAAACTCGTGGAATGGTTTGGGTTGGAAGGGACCTTACAGACCATCCAGTTCCAACCCCCCTGCCATGGGCGGGGACACCTTCCACTAGGGCAGGTTGCTCAGAGCCTCGTCCACCAAGATGGCAAGAGTCTTGTGCATGAACATGTTCTGGCGAAGGCAGCCAGGAGGCACTAGCAAGAAATTTACTTTTGTGTATTGCCAGTGCAGACCAGGAAAGCAGCATCCTAAACCTATCAGCTAGTCTCCCAAACATTAAAAATATGAACATTGTTCAACTTTTTCTGGAACCTCTTATGTTTACTCAGGATACTTGCAGGTTGGTTGTCTTTTGACTCACTTCCCTGTCCTTAATGAGTTAAAGGAGAGAACCATGATCCTCTTCTAAAACCTCTGAGCTTGAGTTTCGTTGTTGCTGGGCACTGACAGCTCTTATCTTCAGCAAAAGCTTCTGGAAAAACAGGAAGTCTGAAAACATGATTCTTCTGCAAAGCAATATAAGGTTTTCTGTGGTCTGGGCCTAAGTTCTCCTGATTTTTCCTACTGAAAAGCCTTTTGCTGGTGTGAAGATGGAAAACTAGATGATCTTGTATAGACCTGTTGCCAGTGTTGACAATATCAGCTTATTCTGATAGCTGTCTTAGCAGTACCAGCTGAAGCATTGATGTTCCAGTGTGGTGCTGCCGTTTACCAGCCTGTTTCTGCAGCTGACTGCACAGGTAAATTCAGTCTCCGTGGCGATGACAAGTGTATGCTAAATTATGCATCGGACAGCTTTGATGTTTTCCCTCTCACCTGCTAACTGGCCTGTCTCCCCAGGACATGGTGGAATATGCTAAATCACTACAGTATGTTGGTCAAAAATAGTCTTCTCTGTCTCCTCTGTAGTTAGGAGTGGCCAGTGTGTGGCTTTTGAGCTGCCTGAGGATGGTGAACTCTTGGAATCTGTTTGCCAAGGCAGGGCTGCCTTCCCGGCTGCGGCCTGGAAGGAGTCAGCAGAAATTCCTCATGGAGACATTGTGGTAATTGGCCTGGGGACCCTCTTACACAACTGATTAACCTCAGCCCCATCCAGCAGCGGAGTAACGTAACGAGACCCTTGGGGAATCGCCACCGTCTCCCTCCTAGGAACAACCACGGCAGTTCTTCTCTCCTTGACCCTTCAAAACACGGGGAAGGGTTTTTATAGTCCTCAGCCATATAAAATTTCGGCATGCAGCTTGCAAGGTTTGTAAACATCAGAAGATGTGGTAGTTCTACTCTGGTGAGAGCTTTCTCGTTAAGGAAATACCACAGCGTCAAACAACCAAAGATCGCAACATTTAAAATAATGCCACTTTTTGTAGAAAAGGCACAGTCCTGTGTGTATGGACACTGTGAAATGTAGGAGCTCTGAGGATACACGGCTGGTCAGGTGGAATGGGGATCCTAACCAGCATGCAGATGATCTGTTCCGTAAGACAGGCAGTAGGATAAACGCATGTTACGCAAACACGTGCAAGCACAGTTTACTTTCTGTTGCTGGGCAGCCTGTGGCTCAGAGGGCAAAAGCTGTCGTCTGTTTTCCTGCCTATCCTGTCCTCGGCACATCTCCTCCTTAGTGGGAGGCATTTGTCGAACTCCTTTGATTTCTAGTTTCCAACTGTCACTGAGAACAGCTGGGGAGTAGAGAGCTGCTTTCTCCCGCCTGCCTCTTCTCAGAAGCCCTCCAATTAGCCCTCGCTCGGAGGCCAGACCCTACTGTTTCTGCCGAAGCTGGCAGGATGGCTTGTGAATATTTAAAAGGGAAGGCACCTTTCCAGTAACAAAGATCCTTTTGCTCTCCTCCCTCAAAACTCCGTTGAGTGAGCAGGTGTCGGGACATTTTATACTTTGGTTTTTACCGAATAGCAAGTTCCCAAGGAAAAGCTGTGAGAAAAAGATTAGATTAATTCAGTGTATCTTTCTTTTCTCCCAGAAATACCTGCCAGTACCTAGCTCTTGGACAAATTAATTCAATATTTAAACACAGGGACTGCTTTGCAAGACTCACTAACACTCCGGCTTGACTGCGGGCACTAGTTACCTGATATTCCACCTTCAGTGTGCTACCTACTTGTTGGCGGGCTGCTAATTCGTGTGATTTTGGTTCTGTTAAACCACCAGCCCTTACTTTAGCTCTGTGGTAGATAATCCTTCAACTTGTCTTTCTTGGGTTTTGTTGCAGTACCCTTTCAACAGCCCAACATCAAGAATGGAGCCCTGTTTGATGAGCAGTACTCCAAGGCTGCATCCCACACCAGTGACTCCTCGCTGGCCAGAGGTCCCGGCCGCGAACTCCTGCTACACGAACCCATCCATGCACTCCACAAGATACGGAAATTCTAGCGACATGTACACTCCCTTGACCACACGCAGGAATTCTGAATATGAGCACATGCAACACTTTCCCGGCTTTGCCTACATCAATGGGGAAGCCACCACAGGTTGGGCTAAATGAAAATGACTGGTTTCAGCTAAGCCCATATACTTAAGAGTTATAAAAACCTCATGTTATGTGGGACTTTTCATGGACGTTCTTCAATGGAGGTGAAGATGGAAAAGATCCTGGGCAGATAAACATAGTTCGTGATGTGGGCAGGCCACAGACCAGTGTGACCGAATGTTCCTGTAGCCGGAAAAAGATTTTTGTGCTATTCTAGACCACTTTTGGGGCCAATCTGTGCCTTTTTTAGTTCTGGCATGTGGGCCAACCCTGTGTGATGTTTGTTTGAGCGAGCCATTTTTGCCCCTCCTCTCTTATTGACAAGTGTTAATGAGTCTTACAAAAAAAAAAATGTACTGGAATGGGATCTATTTATAATTGGAGTTAAAGACAGGAAATTCACCCTCAGCAAAACTCTGGCATCTGTTCTTCTTTTAAGCTCTTAATGCATTCCTTAAAAACCATTCTGCCAAGTCATCACTTGTCCGTATCAGTTCCTCTCTCTGGCTCCTTAAAAGATGTATGGCGTTGTAGGTTTCAGTTTACACCTAACTTTGTATATTGATGCACCTTTCTGTTGATCCAGCAAGTTTGATCTTTACAAAAGACAAGAAAAGACATGTAGCATTGAATTATACACTGCCTTAAGTTGACTATTGTTCTTATTATATATGTATTTGTGTTAAGTTTGCACAATCTGGAAAAATCTAACTTCTCTGGTCAGTAATGACAAGGTTAAGAAGGGACTTGGGGACAGGGAAGATTTTGGATTCAGAGCCACATATGTTAAATATGGTGATATGAAGCAATTATGTAAAGAAAATGACAATGCAAACATGATTATTCATTTAATTACCTATTGACAGGTATGAAACTATTCTCTCAATTCCTTCACGTGGTGATAATTCTATATAGCTCTACAAAAGCAAAATTCAAAGCTGTGCCTTTGAACTTATTCTGTACTGTGTATGTGTGGAAAAATGTATTGTATTTTGGGGAGAATTTTTCTTAGACATTTTCTGTCAGATTTGTAGCTATTTGTGAGGTTTTGTTAGATTTTATTAACATAGCTTTTTCTTCTGTATTATAAAATGCACCAAGCAATTATGGTGGACCTATTACCCTATGGGTAAGAAATAAATAAATGGAAATATGACATCAGGCTTTTTAGTAATCGTTTTGTAAATAAAATCTTTGATAGCACCCAGTGTGATGATAACCCTGTTTATGCCTAAAATGGACAAAAGTGGGTTTTGTACAGTTATCCAAGATACATGAGGGATTTTCACAGTCAAATAAAGTTCTTGAAATTAAATGGATACCATTTAAATTTACTTAAATACAAGAAATTTCTCCAAGCTGCACACCTTCAAAAAGCCCTAAATGTGGCCATGTATGTTTTTATCCAGCAAAGGACTTGAGAGCTTATGTCTCTCTCAATGAACGAGTAGTCCTGCACGGGTGCTTTCAGCTGAAAGGGCTCACAGCTCGTGTGCCTGGACAGATGACTCTCTGCTGGAAAGGGAAAAGTTGTTTTTCCTCAGGTGAGTAAATAAGGCGGTGAAATGCTCAGACCCTATGTTTAACCAGCGGGTAAACTGGGGAGAGTTTGGGGTCTGAAGTAACTACTGGAATGAGCTGGGAATCTGCAAGGATTGAGGGAGGAGGGATGTTCCAGGCTGGGTTTGGCAGGTGTTCAGTTTCTTAAATAGTCAGCCAAGGTCCTGGTGGGGTTTTACTGAGGCACAGCAGGAGCCTGTCCCCACCTTTACCCATCTGACCAAAACCTTGTTTCCTGCGTTAGTGTCACAGACCACCTGAAACAGGATAACGCATCTCTATTATTCTTATTCAAGTTACCCTCAGGCAAAATTGTGCCGGTGAAGAAGTTAAGTCATGTCGAGGAAGTTTTTTGAGTGCCCAGTCTTTAGCAGCTGGAGTTTTTATGTGTTTGAGACCAAAGTCCTACCCTGCGTTTTGTTATTGAAGATGTTTAAATCAAAGCATTGATTCTGGCCTGTTAATTATTAACAAGCATACAAATACCTGCCTCATCAAGGCTGTGAGAAATCAGTACAGAAAGGCAGCGTCACCAACATAGAAAAACCCACTTTCTCTTCTCCAGTGGATTCCAAACCTCTGCATTGCGTTGCATCTGACAAGAGCCCACCGTGACCCCGTTCGCTCACTCGCTGTTGCTGGAGCACTGATGGATCTCCAGTTACCCAGCCGGCTGCCAGCCGTGACCTGCCGCGGTCCCCCGAGGACCCACCATTCAGGTGAGACGCCGGAGGGCAGAACCAACTGGTTCTCAAAGCCGGGTCTCTGGAAGGATCAGGAAGGAAGTGAAACCCAGCATTGCTCAAGGGAAGCCAGAAGCACTTCCTATGTTTTTTTACAACAGGTTGTTAAAGCAAATAAAGCCTGATCTCCATGGACTGAAGGAGAGGAGAAAGTGAGAATGTTGCAGTGTACAGGTGTGCCATGTCCTTCGATGTGTTTGGGGACAACTCAGTTACTCAGGCTTGAAGAGGTCTGGGAGACTGTTCAGGAAGGAGGATGGATATTGGACACAGTGCCAGCCCCAGAAATAAAGACTTCCCGAGCGGAGAACTGCAACACCATGCTCAAAGTCCTGAGAGATGGAATTTTGACCAACAGCAGCACCACAAAGATGCTCATAAAAAAGAGCCACAGGACACTGTCGGTCAGATGTGGCTTTGAAAGTCTTTTGCAAAAGAGCCTTCACGCTCTTTCTAGTTTTTATTTCTGTAATTCATTTGGAAACCTGTACTGATGCCACAGGAGTCTGCACATGCACTTCCAAATACTTTGAGCTGCTTCCTGATGAGGGCTTTGAAATTTAAACTGGACATTCACGGGGAGCAATATATAGATTCCCGACCACAGCTCTACAGAGGTCACCGCCACCGTCCACATCGAGAAGTGCTGCCAGGGAAAGCAGGCCCCCTGCTCCACCACCGCACGTAAGAACCCACCCAGCTCATCCAAACCGCACAGCTTCCAGGTCACAGGGGTATACAGCGGGCTGTCAAGTGTGGCGGCTCGTGAGAGGATGGCAGTCTCTGGGTAGAATGGCAGGTTAGGGGCAGGAATCGCTTAAATCACCCTAGTACAAATTGCCAAACCTCCTGAGTCAGAGCCAGCAGACTCTTAATTAAGCCTTTCCCTTGGCCGTGGTAACTGAAACTGCTGTTTATTGCCTCACCACGTATTTATGTGTATATAAAGTAAATACGTGGCTACAAAAATCATTCTGAAGAAGCTTTTATACCACATGCCAAAGTATTCAACCTCATTTCTCCTTTTTCTTTTTCTTTT